GCGTGACAAAGCGCTAGCTGGGATGATTTCGTTGGTGATTGGTCCTGCTTTGAGCAGGGGGTTGGACTAGATGACCTCCTGAGGTCTCTTCCAACCCTGATATTCTATGATTCTAAGACAATCTGACAGTCTTCACACATGTGGGCCGGTGAATTGTCAAACACAATGGCCCTTGCTTTGAAGTTAGCCCTCTTCTTCCTTTATGTTTCCAAGGCTCTAATCACATTTGATGGGTAAATTAATAGACACAATGTAAAAGGTAATAGCAAACAACAATCCTTCATTAGTTTTCGTGAAGTTTACACATCACACACATTCTCATTGTAACACTAGCACACACTTTTGATCTAGGGTTAACTAGTTACAGGAGTATACATAATGTAATGTGACCGCAATCAACAGGTTATAGATAACTGAAGAGAATACCCTTAACATTTCCTTTGAACTAAACTAACACACGATTGAATTGGCCAGACACTATACTATCTCTTGACACTCCTTTGATTTCTATTAGCATATGAGTGAATTAGCCTGCAGCCCTATGCTGAGCTGGCACCTGGGTACACAGCATCACAGATGCTACTTCAGCTGAAGAACTTTTATAGCCAGAAATATACCCTCAGTAGATCATGAAAGTGAGACCCCTTTTTCCTCCAAGAATATGAGGTGTCTGAGGAAACATGGTGATCTCCACAGGATTTCAGACGGGTGGGTTGGGGTTGGGAACTGGGGTGTTAGACAGTCTCTGGTTATAATCTGAGAAGAGCCAAGAATAACACCAGGTATAAACTATCAAACACATTCCAGCCTCTTGGCAATGACTTGAGAGTGTTTCTCATTTTAATGTAGAAGTTTCAGCATTCCGTCTAGGAGAGTTTTATCATCTAATTTCCCTGATGCACATCTAAGTTCTTATAGGATCAAGAGAAGACCTGTGTAGCATCTCCTGTCTGGTATACCAACAGGCTGGCATTGTCTGCCTGCAGTACAATGGTACTATCACAAAGCATTGCATAGGGACCCAGGGGCAATCTAAGAAAAATGCTGATGAGAGACTGAAAGAAAGGAAGTGGATCGGAGGGGGGATTGTGATAATGGGAGCAGCTGCACTGGAACTCCATGCAGCTGGAGGCAGCTTTGCCTCTTGCCTTGTAACTCAGCAAAGTTATTTGATGAACAGCTACAACTCAGTGCTGTCAGCCTTTGCGATAGTTATTGTTCAAGCCCCAGCTCATGGAGTCACATGATTAGTTGAGACTGTTTTCGTTGACTTTATCAAAGTATGTTTCTAGGCCTGATGGTTATGGAGAAGAGCTTAGAAATCTGGTTCAGGTTCATCCTAAAGATGCAGAAACCAGAAGGTAAAGGGAAAAAATTTTCATTTAAAAAAAAATCTCAGGATTTTGAAGCCAATCTCGGGATTTTTCATGGCCTGATTCAGGATTTACACATTCTTGGGGCCGACAATACTGATGACCTTACACCTTGCC